TTCTGCTTTGATCTTGTATAGTCCAAGGTGGCCTTGAACTCACAGAGATCCATCTGCCTCTGTCTCCTAAACCATTGGATTAAAGGTGTGTGTCACCCCTACCTGACCTCTAGTGGCTTTAGCTTTGCCTCTGGTCTTCAGGCAAGATTGATTTATTAAAATACAAATAATATGCCACTATAAAAGCCCTTTCCAAGGAACTGCCAAGCTCTTTAAAGATCTCCTCTAACAGATCTACAGGCTAAAACTAGAATGAGGGACTGGAGAGACAGCTCGAGAGCTAAGAGCATTTGCTGCTCTTTCTAAGGACTAGGTTTTCTTTTCTTTTTCTGCTCCTAGCACCCACATGGTAGCTCACAACCATGTGTAACTTCAGTTTGTGGGAATATGTAAAAGGAGTGGCAGGCTGCTTCCTGCCACCCAGCTACCCGGCTAGTTTACACCCGAAATAATTGCACAGAAACTGTATTCCTTTAAACACTGCCTGGGCCATTAGCTCTAGCCTCTTCTTGCCTAACTCTCACATCTTACTTTAACCCATATCTAGTAATCTGTGTATCACCATGGGGTTGTGGCTTATTGAAAAGATTCTACCCTATGTCCATCTAGGGCTGGAGCTTCATGGTGTCTGCCTGATTCTGCTTTCTTTCTCCCAGCATTCTGTTCTATCTACTCCACCCACCTAAGGGCTGGCCTATTGAAAGACCAAGGCAGTTTCTTTATTTGACCAATGAAAGTAACAAATAGACAGAAGACCCTCCTACATCAAGAATACAGCTCCCTCTCCTGGCCTCCACGGGCACTAGGCAAACAAGCGGTACACACATACATGCAATCAAAATGCTCATCCGTACACATAAAAAAACCTTTAAGAGTAGAATGAATATTTGTTTATTTAGTGTGGGAGAGAGTACTCATGCACTGTGACACACATGTGAAGTCAGAAAACAGCTTTTGAAGTAGGTTCTTGCTATTTGATTGGATATGATTTCTCTTCTCTGGTAGTTGCCCTTCAGGTTTCTGAAGTCTCACCTCCCCACATAGAAGTGGGTTGTCTGCTGGGATTGAGGACAGCACACCTGACTTTTCACACGGGCCCAATGAGTGAGCTTGGGTCATCAGGTTTGGTGGCCAGCACTTTTACCCACTGAGCTCTGTTCCTGGTCCCCAGAATGAGTATTTTTATAAATAATTTTTAAAGGACTCCTTATACTTGGAAAAAGGTGTGGTAGCAGACTTGAAGTCACATCCTGATGCTCCAACTACAGTTTAAGTGACTTTGGGAAAATTCCTGGATCTTTTTGGCCATCCATTTCTCGTCTGAACAAACTTAGATAATGATGGTGTCCCTCACAGGCCAGTCAAGGACTGTAAAGATCATATCCATGAATAACACAGCACTGGACAGATAGCATGTGCTCAATAAATAATAGATGTATTTGACAGAAACTGTGAGGGACACCAACAGAAAAAGGCCAGGACTTAAAGCCAGGGGATTAAGTTCTGTCTCCGTGTCTGTTCTCACACAATTAGTGTGTCCTGTTTCCTTAACTGCCAAGTGAGAAGCCTGACCTTAGCAGCTCAGTACTCCATCTCCCAAACGGGGCACCTTCCTCTTCCACCTAACAGGATATGTCCCCGGAGCAGAAAGTTTGTCCCACCAGTCTTGCAATCCAAATGACAGTAAAACAGCAAAACATAGCTCAGCCCAGGCGACCTCAGCTGCCACCTCCTGCCGGTAGCTCAGAGAATAGAGAAACCTCTAGGAAAACATCTGCAGACTGATTGGAGTACTGAGCTGAAGATATGGGAAGTCCTCCAAACCTGGCACCCTGCTCCGCACAACCTTACCCATGCATGCTAAACAGAGAAGGCAGAACCATCTTCCCAGTGCAGTGTACACACGGCTCCATATTCAAAGTCCTTCCTAGTGCCAACATTGGCCTCACTGTCTTCCCTCCACCAGGAATGCCTTCCAGGTTCTTCTGAACCTTATAGGTCCAGCTCATTTCCTACAGTTTCCGGGAAGTCACTCTAAAGGGGGCTCATAGGAGAAGTAGGGTGTTTGTGTATTCAATTACCTTAAGACAACTACTTTCCTCACGTGCACACCCATGGTTCTCCGTTAGTCTCTGTTTTCTACTGCATTACAGAAGAATCCCAGACTAACACCTCACATAGATTCCTGCACTACCTCTCCACCATGCTACCCTGATCTCCAGCCAGCCCAGGGCATCCCCCACACCCACGTCAGGGTCTTCATGCGAGTCCCCTCTGCCTGTCCTCCAGCACTCAAAATGTAACCCATCCAGTGGGTTTATTTCAAAAGCCTCAGCACCACCACTCACCTAACTCCCCGCTCCTGTTTTTCTTTGGAACTATTAGAACCCTCTTAGCGCTGAGTCAGACACACTCTGTGGCCATAGGCTGTTGACATCAGAGCTGCTCTTTCAGCGCATGGCAACTCGTAGACCGCACCATCTATGTGTGTCGTGTTCTTGGCTTGCCAAGTGACAAGCATTGGAACGCGATGGCCTCAGCTGTAAAAGACTTGCCATCCTTGAGGAGGAAGTCATACGAAATGAGTCACAGCCCCCAAGGAAGGCTGAAGAAGTTTCTCTGAGCTCTGCATGTCCTGAATCCCTTTAGTCACTCACTCCATTTAGCATTTAGTAAAAGCACGACTAATAAAAACCTAGTGACAGAAACTGGGGTTCGACATGAAGGTCAGAAAAGCCAAACAGCCAGCCACTGGCTCCTGCCTCGACCTCAGTACAAAACGGCCATCCTGCCTCCAGGAATCTCAGAATGAGACTGTGTCTGAGAGCTGTCTCCTCCCGTTTATAGTCCTCTCTAGGGCTGGGTTAAAAGCGTGCACCACTGGGATTAAAAGCATGCGCTGCCCAGTTTCTGTGGCAAATTAGTGTAGCTACTAGGATTAAAGGTGTGTGTCACCACTGCCTGGCCTGTAAGGCTGACCAATGGGGCTGTTTTACTCTATGATCTTCAAGCAAGCTTTATTTACTAAAATACAAATGAAATATCACTACAATTTAATGGTCTGGCTTTTTTTTTAATTTGCAAAGACAAAGACATTCAGGTCACATCATTCAAAATAATTTTGCCATTGAAGAATACGAAGAACAAAGCCACATCCCTAGCTATTAACACTCTGTAACCTTCTAAATTTTCATTATGAAAATATGAATTTTGTCCTCACACTTCACTACCTAGTAGTACTTTGCGGTGTTTTGCCTGTTGGCCTGGGAGGAAATTTGCCTGGCCCGAGGCAGTGAAACTGCTGAGAGAACGGACTTCGGAGCTCCTTTTATTCCCTCATATGCCTGGTTTAAAAAAATCCTTAAGTCCATGTTTCCTGCTTGGCTGCCCCTTCACAACTTTCTCTGGTGCGCCCATATGAAGAGAGGCCCAACACTCTCACTTCCTCACACACACTTTGAAAGAAACCCCTGAGTCTCCAGGGCACCCTGCAGGTTGCCACTTGTGGTAGGCCACGTGCCTCCTTCTCGGCATCTCCATCTGCTTAAAGAGACGTCAAGAGACTTGGGGTCCGCTGCAGCTGTGTCCCTAACTGTCCATGTGACCCTAGCCAAGTCTTCTGCCAGCCCTGTGCCTAGTTTCCTAGTCTATAAAATGAGGACACGGACCAAGCGACTTACAAGAACGGGCAGCCAGTTCTCTCGGGCACTCTTGCCTCCACTGGTAGGTGTGAGGCTTTATAAGCATGAAGGAGTGTGGGGAGGCCCCGAGGCACTCTCTTGAGACTGTGTTTGCTAGCCTGCTGAGCCAGGTTAAGAATACACAGCCGTACTGCAGTCACAGGCTGAGTACATCATATATCTAGGCAAGAGGTGATCTCCCTGGGCCTGCCCACAGGTTGTGTACCCACTGGCAGCTCTCTCCACAAAACAAGTCAAAACAAAACAAGTCAAAGAGTCCTGAATAGGCTCCATGTCTCTCAAGAGGTCCACAGATGCATGAGTGGAGGACAGGCTGTACTGTACCTCCATGCCAGTTTCAGGACCAGCCGCCATCCCCACACCCTTAGAGCAGGTGACACCAGCATGGGGAACTGTGTGGCACCTGGCAGTCTCATCTGGGGAATTCCTGCCAATTCCTCCCTACCCCTCTGCCTCCAACATGCCTCCACCTGTGTGAGGACCAGGGTGACTCTGACCTAAAAGGACATCTTCACCACGTGCTCTACCTCCTGCTTGAAGATCCAGAAAGGGGAAGTCACTCACGCTGGGCACACAGCTACCTGGAGGGCACTGTGCTTCAAGGACAGCCAGGCTGAAGAAAACCAGCCCGGGCTTGATCTCCTCTTCAGAAGGCCTCCTCCACACACCCCCAGTGAGACAGATGTCCTTCTGTGCAGTTCCACTCAGGGGACAGAGTGGGACTCCATCTCTGGGCTTACAGGTGGTCAAGGAATATAAGGTAACAGAACTGTTGGCAGGCTTGAGCATCTGGGCAAAGACTTGAGCCACATCTTGTCTGCCTCTTTACTGTCTCATAGTTCTGCACACCTAAGTCGGTAAGACCCACCTTCTATCCTCTCTTCTTTGATACACACACATACACATGTACGCACTCACAGTCACACACACATACACACGTCCGCACACACACATACACACACGCACACACCTACACACACGCATACACAAAAGAAAATACGTCTTTTCTTTTCCATCCTTTGCCACCCTGAAGTCTGTTGCCACTCAGCTCCTCCTCTGAGGATGACTTAGGACATTTACGGACCTTAAGTAAATGTGTGCCCCCATCAACACCATCACCAGCGAGCCATCTGTCCCCTAAGAATCTCGTAAGAGCCCCTCCCCCACCCCGGGCAGTTAGGGGAGAGGTCAGAGCAAGTCAGTCCGGAAATATGGGAGCAGCAGCCACAGCAACTAAACATCTACCACTGTATCCCCAGGTCTCGCCAAAGCCCCTGCTGCCACTTACAAAGACCCTACCATTTCCAGTCCGTTCCGGTCAATAAGTGTCTGGGGAAAACCTTAATGCTTGGCTTCTTTTACTCCACGATTTGCGGCCAGGGGGCTCTGGATCCTTAAGTCCAAAATAGTGTTTCTGCTCATTAGGCAAGATGTCAGGCCCAGGCGGAGAGGCTTTCTCCAGCCCACCCTGAGAAGCCCCAGCCTCAGGCTGAGGAAACCTGCATTGCCGGAGCTGAGGGTCTCACGGTGACAGTCACTCAGCCACGTTCCACACGTGTGCTCTCGCTGAGTAGGAGTTAAGCTTGTAAATCCGTTATTTATGATGCGGGATTGCATGCATGCGCAGTGTGATGAGGGCACATTAACAGCGCGGTGAGAAACTTAGCATTGAATATCCTTGCTCTGGGAGGTACGCCATCTACCCCTGCTGCGATACCGGGTATTTCTTACAGTAAGTTCCGCACAAGTTCAAAGTGGGTGCTTATATTTAAACTTAGAACTTCCCCTGCCTGATTAGACCAGGAAGATTATAAATGGTTCAGTCATTTGCATCCGAGTTCTGGGCTCCTACCGTAGATAGGTAAACAGCCCTCACTTCCCTAAGGGTAACACTGAACTCAGGACTCCAGTCTTGGTGGTGCAGCAAGAACCTAGGGACCCATGGACACAGCAGAGTCCTGGGCAAGAGCGTGTGTGTCTTTATGGGTTGGGGCGGGGAGGACAGCAGGAGCAGGAAGAACTTCACTCAAGTGGCAGAGCCCCAGGCTGGACCGTGGAGTCTCAGAACTCTGTCAGCAGGACACGTTCTGGCTTCCTCTGAGCTGAGCCTTGCTCTTGAGCACAGCCATGCCAGCCAGCACCAGCACTGGCCAAAGAGGAAGGCATAACAAAACTACTACTGAGCCTTGTCCTCTGTGATGGCCTGGGTGGGTAATCCACCATCGTTCAATGTCGTAGACCATGGAGCCTCTGGTTCAGACCTGCTGTGGGTTCCCCGTGAAGGGTGTCATATCCAGGCAGAGTAGGACACATTTCAAGTTTCCTGCTTTTTATTGAAAATATTGATTAACTGCATTTCTTTGGTTTCCTTTTATTTTTTTGTTCTATCTTCTTTTACCTACTTTGTGGATCCACGAACGGAACCATGGCTCTACAAACCCCTGGCAGTAAGCGCTCCGCCACTAGGCTATGTCCCAAGTTGGCCAGGTTTGGCCTTGAACTCACTCTGTGGATCAGGCAGACCTTGAACGGGTCATCCTCCTGCCTCAGCCCACAGAAATAACTCAACATGTGTCAGAGTGCATTTTTTTTATCTTCCTCTGCCCTTCTGGCCACAGAGAAGCTAACTATTTCTTAACATATATTTATCACAATCGTATATTTATCATATATCATATATGTGACATATTTATCACAATCATATATTTATCATATATATATATATATATATAACATATTTATCACAAATAGCCCCATCAATACACTGTCTCCTTACCTACAGCCCTCCCCAAGCCTTGCTCTTGATCCCTTTCTAGGATAGCTCCCCCCAGCCCCTTCCAAGCCCTCCCATCCTTCTAAGTCTATTCACTGCAACCGCCCAATGATCTTCTCCTCTCTCTTCACCAAAGGGTTGCCAGCATGTGCGGTTTCCCAGAGGTTCTGAACCAACTTACTTGCCCATCTTTGCAGACCTCCAGGAGCGCACTTCTCCTAAGACAGGCAGCACCTACAAATTCCACAAATCCTTGCCCCCCCTTCAGAGAAAAAGTCTCTAATTGCAATCAAATTTTAAAATGCACTTGGCCTCTACAGCCTTCGGCACAGGCATCTAGTGTGCAGCAGCAGTACTTCGCTTCCACCGTGTGTTGTCTGTTTAAATGAGATAGCTCATCTACGGGAAAGGCCTAGAATGAGCCCTACACATGAGAAACATGTTTTTGGAATCATGGAGTAGCTGTCATTGCTGCTACTGCATTGCAGTATTGTTTATGCAAGTCTGAAAACAATCCAAATGGCCAGTATTAGGAAAATGCTCTCAGTGGTGAATGTCAGTATGATTCTACAAAGACTTTAAAGATGGTACAGTGTGTTTCCATATGCCAAACTGAACACGCGGCCGCATAATTCTTGGTTTCAAAAGCCAACTGTGGTCAGGCATGGTTTCTCACACCTATAATTCCAGCACTTGGGAGGCTGAGGCAACTGTGCAATGATTTTTATCTTTTTAATGACCACAGATATAATTGTGTATATACAGTATAATAAACCATTTATGGCACAGAGGCAGAGTTGCTTGTAACAGATTCGAGACTCTGGGAGCTTTGTGGGACCCTTATATTACGTTCCTGGATGGTCTCAAGCCAAGTCACTTCTCAATATCTTGGTGTCTTCAAGTGCCAAATGAGGAAAACAATCACACCTGTCTGGTGGACGTTCAGCCTAAAGGAGTTGCAGGACATGTGTCAAAAACAACAGTGTCTATACCAACGGAAGGAGCTCAAAGTTGGATGTTTGCAATATTAGCATCTGCCAAGGACACAAGGCTGGGCGAATGGAAACCAGGCTGTTAGCCGGTTTCTCCTAGGCAAAGAAGTCAGGAGAGAAGGAAACCCACTCATTCACACCAAGGGTGACTCACCTACCATCAACATGCCACCTAGTGCCAGAGCAGTGGCAGGTTGACTCCTGAGGACAACTGTCACCAAAGATTCAGGAGCACAGGCCAAGTCAGTCTTCCCCGTTTCCTTAGCCTGATCCAAATTCCAACACATACTAGAAGATAAAAAAACCAACGATACTTTCAAAAACTACTGCCCCCCATTCTGCAGCCCCTCCCTGATGCCATCCACACACTCTCTAACTCCTCCATGTTGCTGAACCCCCTCTACACTCTGCAGTTCCTCCATGAGGCTTCCCCCAACACAGTCTGCAGTCTTCCGGTGGCGCTGCCACCACACTCTGCAGCTCACACACACACATACACACACATACACACACACACACACACACACACACACACACTGCAACTCATCCATGATGCTGCCCCCCACACTCTGCAGCTCCCCCACACACACACTTTGCAACCCATCCATGATGATGCCCACACACATATCTGCAAACTCTCGACGATGCTGAAGTAAATTTGGTCCCTTGGTATAGCCTCTAGTAACCTTCTTCCTGTGAAGAAGACACAGTACTCCAGCCCCTTCCTAAACTCCCTCCACTTCCCCAAACCCTTACCTTCCGCCATACTTTTCCAGCCAGCCCCAATCTGCATGCTCTTCCTCCCCAACCTCAAAGACATCCTTGAAGTCTCACCTCTGGACTGCTCCTACTCTGGTGACACTAGATTTCACACAGTTGGCCCCAAGGCCCAAGTACCCTGAGAACAAAGGCCTCCCTGCCTCAGGCTTCTGTCAGCTGCCCCAGCACATTCTGTGAGTTAGTAACAATCATGTACTACTCTGACAAAATGCCCGGCAGGACAACTTCATGGGAGAGGCGTTTATTTTGCCTTAGGGTGTCAGACTTGGTTCATCGTAGGAGGAAGGCATGGTGGATCTGCTCAGTTCATGTCAGGTGGCCCAGCGGCAGGGAAGCAAGACTGTGGGTGCTCGCCCTACTGTCTGCTTTATTCTAGCCAGGAAGACAAACAAGACAAAGAGATGCTGCTGCCCACATTCAGGGTGGGTCTCCCCACTTTCATCCATCCTCTCTGAGAGCACCCTCAAAGATATCCTAAGAGGCATGCCTCGCCCATCTCCTCGGGGATTCCGAAGACAGTCAAGCCAACTGTTGACCAAACAGCCCATCTAACAGCTGCAAGTCCAACACCAGAGTCCTAGCCCAACTCTCAAGGACTCTCCTATTCTGTGTACCAGCTTTCAGCCTCTCCCCACAGCCCATGTGTGTGCGTGTGTGGGTGTGGGGGGGGGCATGTGTGCGTGTGTATGCAGTGTGTATGCATGTGTGTGTGCATGTGCGTGTGTGTGCATGTGCTTGTGTGCGTGTGTGTGAATGTGCAAGTGTGCGTGTGTGTCCGTGCAGTCTACTTTTCTCCACCTCTAACATTCAGTGCCCCCATGTTCCCAGCAGCCATCTTCTCTGTAGTGTTAGCCGCATCTTCCCCCCCTTGTTTCCCACAGCTAACCTCTGATTGGCCCTTCAGTTTGACTTGGCTCCACACCTGCTCCCTGAACCTTGTGAAATGAATGGCCTCTTCCCCTGCCTCCTCTGCCTTGCCTATCCCGTGTTCAACCGAAAACTAAATCCCAAGTCAAGCTCCAAAGAATCAGCGTGTGTGTCCTCAAATCCACAGTGAATTCTTGGAAAGCAGGATGTGCCCCTTCCTTCCCACAGCAGCCACAGGAAACAAGATGGGACACATGCCGGAATTAGAGGAGGTGGGGATGGAGTGTGGCGTTCCACTGAGTGGGAACGGCTCTATTGGCAGCTTGGAGCTTATCATGGCAACCTTGTCTTATTTGTCTTTGAGTTCTTTTTTTTTTTTCCTCAGTAGGACAAAAAAAAAAAAGATTGTTAAAAATTAAACCCAAAACTTTCAGCTCTGATGAGTTTTCTCAAAAGCCAATAATTCCACATGGCTCATCTAAAATTAGAGAGAAGTGACCAGGATTTTTAGTTGATTGGCTCTTGTAGTAGATGTAAGATAGTCAAAATCTATTTAAATGACTTTCCTAGGGAATTGGAGCAGCAGGCATTGCCTCAGACGCCAGAAGTCCATTTGAATACTACACGAAAAGAAGGGAATTAGTTTGGTCAAGCTGCTGACATGAACAGGCAGGGACAGAAAGGCCCTGGAGGAGAGTTGGGTGTTCCATCTTGAATCCATTTGCAAAATAAACACATGGATTTACCAAGTTTACTACTTTGACTATTTCCTGGACCAATCTGGGCTGGGATGGTCAGCTGAAATTAAAAAAAAGATCAAGGCTACAAAATTATCTTGCCACGCTCCTCAGCCGACTTGTTTGGTGGCACAAACAAAGGCTGACGGAGTTGGAAGTCTGTGTGGCGTTTGGCCTGCAACCTGCAGACCACACCGGCCAGCGGAGGTCTTTGGCTCCTCCTTTCCACGCTGCCCACCACAGCCAGCCGGACTGAGGCTGTTTATGAGCTCAAAGTGCGAACACACTGAGTCCTTTCTTCTGCAGAAAACCTAAACTCTCACCTACCCCTACTGCTGTCTTACAGATGGGCCCAACGCAGAGGTTTTAAACTTTTTCTCAGCAACACACAGGCGCACACACATTCTGTTTAGACCCCATGCTACGCAGACACTTCTTAAATTGCTTTTCCAGTAGAACCTCAGGAAAAGGTTTTGTTTAACTGCCACCTATCCATGGCTAGGATAGGACTGGTTTGGCAATCTATAGCCCCCCCTGGTCCCACAGGGGTCCTTGGGGGTAACTCTGGCCCCTGCCTGGTTAATGACCTCTTACATGCTGTGGAGAGAGTGTTTGCTATCCTGGGTTTCCCGTGATCAGCAGAGGCAGGAAGACCACACAGTATCTGCCATAACACCCAGCAAGATGAGGTGCGGCACACAGACCTGCTGTGTTGGAACGGCTAGCCGATGAGGATGCCATTTAAGGGATCAGTAATGCTCCAGCGAGTTTTCTTATGGAACGCACCCCCTCCTTCTCCTAAGTAACAACAGAACCCCTGCTGGCAGGGCTGGCTCTCCTCATAACTCCTACAGGTTGCAAAACCCCCCTCCCCTCTGCCCTGCTCCCCCTATGTTGTCAACAGATCATAACTGAAGCCTCAGTGGAATACGCCATCCAATTTCCCATAAAATGAGACATGAAAATAAACACACATATTGTATGTTGGTTTACATTTCCTGTACAACCCCAACAGGGGCGACAGGAAAGACATTAAGGAAACTATTTCTAAAGCAATGGGCTACATTTTAGCAAGAATACTCTCACTGACCCTAAAAAGAAAGCCATTCAGATGGCTAAAATCCCATATAATTCTTGGGAAACCTTCTTGAACATTCCCACTTTAATTTCTAAAATCAATATGGCTCGCTAGCGCCCGCGCTCCGCGACAACAATTCATGCTGATGGGGAGGAATAGGTGGCCATTCTTCTACGGAATGGAAGCGCTGGCTGTCGTTCAGGGCGTTATTCCAAGAGAGGGAAAGGTCTTAAGTCCAGGGCACCTGACAGAGGTGGGGTTTGACCCTAGAGGGCTGCTGGCCCTCAACATCCCTGTCCTCATCGAGAAAGCACGGCACAGCTGCCACCTTCGTGTTTTCAGTCATGCAGTTTCGAGGCCCCAAACAGAATGTCATCGTTTATTTATTTTTTTCTTCTGGGAAAAAGAAAGGCAGCTAGCTACCAAGCACGCTCGGTGCCAGATGCCCCAGAGAAAGGGGCTCACCTCTCTAATTCAGAGCACCTGGCAAGTATGGGTTAGTGAGATGTCTCAACTATGGGAGAGTAAAGGCTATTTTATTTCTTTCAAGCAGATTCACTAACTAGATAATAATTGCTTGCCATTAGCGCATTAAAATTGTCTAAGTGGCACTGCGGAAGCGCTAGCAAACAGTTTGTTCTCAGGTAGATAAACGTCCCTCCCGCCGTCCTGTTCACACTGTTAATTTGCTGAGCAAACCCTTTTTCTCGGGGATGGTGTAAACATCACTTCTAGGCTCCAGGACAGGGAAACACGCGGGCAATCATATGTTTCCTTCACAGCCATTTCGCCATGGAGAGCCTGAGAAAGAACAGAAGAAAGGGGGACGAAAGGGACAGAGGGAGGGAAGGAGGGACTGAGGGAGGGAGAAAGGGAAAAAGTAGAGAGGAGGAGGGAGATTGAGGGAAGGGTTGAGGGAGGGAGAAGTGAGGGAGGGAAGGAGAGAGGGGGGTTGGAAGGGAGGGAGAGGTGGAAGAGTGGAAGAAGAGGGAGAAGAGAAGGAAGAAGATGGGAAAGGCAGAAGAGGAAAAGGAGGAAGAGGAGATGAAGGGAGGGAGAGAGGGAGGGAAGGAGGAAGGGAGGGAAGGGGGAGAGAGAGGGAGGGAAGAGAGGAAAAGAGAGGCAGGGATTGGGGGAGGGAGAAGTGAAGGAGAGAAGCAGGGACACTGAGGAAAGTGAGGCTTTCAGATCATTACTTCTCTCACTCTTTAGTAGAAGAAAAATATTAGTTCTGTGTTGCAAATATCGGGCTGAACCTGACCTTCCTGAGACTAAGTACTCCCCCATCCTTCCTCTCCCCTAATTATCTCCCTGCCTCACCCTAGCTGCTCTCTGAGAAAAGTGGGGGCTAAGGAAGTGAGTCAGGTGGGAAAATGTGGTGCTGGCTACTCCATGGGCTTATCTGTTCACCCTTCTCCCCGGGCACCACTGATGGGTGTGGGGTGCCAGGGTGGGCATCTTTAGAACAGCTCCTCTCTGGCCTTTTGTGCTGTCCCTGGGGACCTGGCTTCTTGTCACCTCCTAGGGGAAATGCTACATGTCAGGAGCAGAACATGATGGAAAGGACCAAGGGATGCTATGTGGAGGTTTTCAGGAGCCCTGTGACACAAGCTTGGCCCAGAAGATGCCAACAGGAACAGGATGGGGACCTGGAACATGGGGTCAAGGCTATGCCAGACTCCGCGGGATGCCTTTGTCAAGAGCGCTGACTCAGCGCCTCTCCCCTTAGCTCTCCAACACCTCACAGTAACACAGTTAGCAGGGAAATACTTGAAAGCAGCTGTGTAGAAATCTGGACCATGAAAGTCTGACAGGACCCCCACACAAGCGACAGGTCTTCAAGCCATTGTGGCTTGACTGTATCTAAGCATCTTCGCGAACCAGAGAAGTTGAGATCCACTCAACCTTTCTGCCTGCCATGCTCTGCAGGGAAGATGGCTGCCAACTGGGTGGGGGTGGTGAATTTGAGATCCATGTTTCAGAGGTACAAAGATGTCCAGGCAGTCGAGTCTCTGAGCTCTGACAACAGACTACATAGATTTTTGGCTCAAGGATCTTGCTGCTTCCTACATGCCCACCTTGCGGGGGAAGGGCTCCATCTCACATCTGGAGAGTGACGTGGAGAACCTCCAAGAGGCTTGAAGTTCCCTGATTGTATTTGAGTTGTGATATAATCATGATAATCATGATTTTTCTTTTAGTTGAAGTTCCCTGAAAGTCCTTAATACACACTTTTAAACAGCAACAAAAAAAAAAGACCCTGGGAAATGTTCACACTGATCCTCCAGATTTAGACTCCGTCAGCACACCACTTCATCCCACAGTCTGTGAAGAAAACCCAGGACACTGAAATTCCGAGATCTGTAAAGAAAAAGGAAAGCAATACTTACCAAAGTGGGGAAAACAAAGCAAAATTGTTTCCTGGAAGAGTTTAAAATTTTATTTTTAATTTTGTGTTTATGTAGGGAGGGTTATAAATATGGCCTAAAAAGGCCAGAAGGTGGCATCTGAACCCCTGGAACTGGAGTTATAGGCGGTTATGAGCCATCCGACCTGATCCTGGGAGCCAAACTGCAGTCCTCCGGGAGACAGCAATAGATACTCTTAACCAAGGCTTAGCCACTGCCTCCCATGATAAAATATATACATACCGATCCCAGGGAACGCTTTCCATAACCACTTCAGTCGTGACTAGAAAAGGGCCCGCGTGCTGGGCAGCCTTGCGGGAGTCCTCACGCTATACGTGCTCTTGGTCCGTGGAAAGTTTCCTCCCTCGGGTACCATCAAAACTTGGCCGAAGAACAAGCGCTCAGAACACCTTGAGAACGTCATATGCATAAGCTCAACTCCTTGATCCCTTAATACACCTAAATTCTGATGAAGTCACCAAAGGTGTCAGAGCACGACTCAAAATCCTCAAGGGGATATCATCAACTTAGCATTTCCAAGTCACAGGAGACGCTAATTCCACTTATCGAAGTACAAAAGGCTCACTCATGAAAAGCAGAAACCCAAAATGAATAATATTATGAGTTGGTCCCAGCTGGGTTTCCCTCAATTTATTACCTTAGAAGACATCACAAATCCACGCCTCCTGAAGCCTGCAACTGCAGTGGGTGAAAAGCAGGGAGTCCCGAAGTCTTCTCAGTGGGCCCCACCTGCGCTAATCCCACCACCCCAAAGGAAGACTTTCCATAACCAAAGAGGGAGGTAGCTGAGGAAACCGGGCACATAAAGGCTTGACAACTGGGGAGCCGATTATCGTCCTGTCATCTGACATAGGATAAGATGAGACCAGCAGGAAATGAAGCTGGAAGTGTGGGAAAGAGGAGCTAAGAGGCCAGGGAGGAGGGAAAGGCAGGAGAGCTGCGGAGCCGCGAAGAAAGGGAACAGGAAACACAGCAGCAGGCCAGGCCAGCACATGTACCGCTCAGAGGAAGCGCTCAGTTCAGGGTTTTGGGGGGTTTTGATCTTTTCTTACTGTTTTTGAACACCTGTGGCTTGGACAGACCAACTTCTCATTTGACAAGGGGAGAGGGGAACCTTACTTTCAACTCCCATGACTTAAACGTGGCCATGGGTTTTAAAAGTGAGCTAGCATGAAATGAAGAGAAATAACCCAAGCCCCAAACTTCACGAGATCACCTTCAACTTGAACTGTGGCTCCTCCGTGCTCCTTCTTGAAACAGAACAGGGATCAGTAACCATCCACACTCGCCTCCTCTGCATGACTGGGCCTGGGGGAAGTGTCTACAAAGGCATGGCTGAATGTAAGGAAAATGGCTCAACAGAGTCTAGAGAATGGGACATGTCTATTTCCCTCCAGAGTCAGGTATCAGAGTAACCACCCCCCCCGCTCCAAACACACACTCATGCACGCACACACACACGTGCACACCACATAAACCTTAGTCATTCCATTGGAGCATTCATGAATGCCAAGTCCCGAAGTCTCCTTCCCTTCTGTCCCCATCAACTCTTTCCTTTATAAATTTAAAGCCTGTGTGTGAGGGACCAGTGCAAGCCTCATTTTCAAAACTCACCGAAACAGAGCAGATAGGGAGGTTTAATTTTAAAAGTTCCCAGATTGCCAGAATCCTAGGATTCAAACAAAAACTCCATTTGACTTAGGGAGTCAGCTCCTCACCCCACCCGACCCCCAGCTTCCCGGTGGCGGGAAAACAAAACAGCCTATAGGTCAGAAGACCATGGAGGTGGTGGAGCGCAGGTGTCAAGGGCTGGAAACTTTTCCGCCTCTGAATAATTAAAAGCAGCCGAGACAGTCTTCTGTTTCGTGGGCCCTCCATACAAGTGGAGAGGAACTCTCTGAAGAGGCCTGGGCACGGCTTAGACCCTTTCAGATTGCCAGGAGGAAAGAAAGTCCCTTTGAACCACAAGCTCGGTGAGAGATGCACCCTGACTGAAAGTGTACAAACGCCCCAAATCTGGAAATCTGCCTCCCCATCTCGCTCTCACTCACCTGAGTCGACTATACTCATGTGCGTGGAGGCAGAAAATCAAAGTGGCCCAGCAATCCCTTGGAAAACTGTCCTTAATCTTGATGTTACTTTAAAGCTATCATAACTCACACAACCTGCCAATCTTGCTGTGTCTTATAAACTGTGGGGAGAAGTCGAGCATTTCTGGCCCAACGATCTTCCAGTAACAAATGCCACTTCCAAGGCTACTATATCTTCTCGGCGCTGCTTGGCCTCTTAAACAAGGCTCTTCAAACATATTAACTGCTGTAGTCGCAATCTCTTTTATAATGGGGAGCGACACTCTCTTATGACTAGCTCTGTGAAGCCAAGGGTAGCATCCGTCTGAAGACGGAAAACGCCCAGTTGAGTCAGATGAGGATGGCCCATCCCACCACGGTGCTCACTAGCGTTCCTATGGGCTCCATTTTCCCCACAACAGACCCTGCTAGCTTGCCAGCCTCCTGCTCAGTCCCAGTCACTGCCGCAACTCATTGGCACCAAACGGGGTACCAACACCAAGTCTTAAAGGGAGTCTCTCGACCTGGCATCCCGGATCGATGGCAAGGGCTGAACCCAGGCAAGCCCAGGGCCTGGCTTGCCTTCAGGAAATCCCGGGCTGTCTCCAGCAGCTGTGCTGTGAGTAGTACAACAAATTCACTTACTGAATGACAACAGCTTTATTGGCAAGCCAATTCAATTAAAGCCCGTGCATCCAACAAAGTCTCCGGCAGCTCTCTCTGCATAAAGAACATGGAATCGTGCCTACGTTTCCCTGAGTGCCCTCAGCCCTAGCTGTCCCTCTCCACGGGCGGGAGAGGGATGAATGAATTAGATGTGGAAGATGGTAATTAATGGCTGGCTGTCAGAGAGTCATTCTGGAGGCTCAGCCGTTGAAGACTCCATATTAAGGACTGAATCCCGGCGCAGACTGACCAGGACACACAAGCACCCTCTTTCTAAATGGCAGAGGTGTCAGGACACCTGGGGCGAGAAGGGAGGGGGACATAGAAGAAGGGGAAACAGGCTTGGAAGGAAAGTAGGCAAAGAATCAGGCGGTTTGCATTGATCAATGCTTTTTATATTATTGATATATGAATATTATGTTCATTTTTCATGTTTACAGAGTATGTCCTTTAGGCTACCATTACAGCGAACTTTGGAGTTCTGACAGGAGCTTATTAGGGGGTAGAAGGGGAAGGCTGACTGTTGGGCTATAAACAAAACACATTTTCTTATAAAATATACATAGCTGATCATTTTTGCCCTCAGTTACAGAGATGTAAACCGGGATTTTCTCAATCCCTGGCCTAGTCTTGCCAATCAATCATTTGGCAATTGAGGTACACGGAGGAGGAATGTGGGACCCATTAACAAGCGCTATGAACCACTCATTTAGGTGGAGCCAGGCCCCTCGCTTTGCCAATAACCACTGCCACCAGCAGATCCAAGTGCAGGCTAACCGCCTGGCAAGGGATGATGGGATATATTGGGACTAAACTGTCCCTCATAGGAGCAAAATGTCGCATACACAGTGTGAACCGTCGGCAGAAGCCAACTACTGCAGGACCAAGCAGGTCCCTCTCAAGAGTTGGCATGGAGTGGAGGGCCAGGCTCCCATCTGAGTGGGCCCTTGTCAAGAGGCCACTGGGGACTGTACTGGCACCCGTGAGAGGGGGAAAGACAGGATCGACGGTGAAATGACCTGCTTGTCTCAGGGAATCCAGGTAGAAAATTGCACCCAAGGGCCATGGAGAGTCTTCAGAATGTTTGCTTGGAACTTGACTCAAATTTCAAGGTTCAGAGCAAAGCCAGCCGCACCAAGAAGCCACTCCCATCTTTTTGGGTGGGGGTAACGTGCTCCCTCTGTTACCATGCTACAGAACTTTTGGTGGGCCTCTACCGTACACCTAACTCTCCTTTCTGCGCTGTAGTCAGCTACCTCTTGCCTATTTCCCCGTAGACAGGAGCATCCTGAGGGCCAGGATCCAGCTCTCAGATACAGCTGGAATTCAATAAGTCTAAATGGAACAGAGCCGACCGGCCCTTGAGAGATGGAAATCACTTGGCAAAGCCTCACGTCTTAGAGTTACGCAGGGCCCCGGTGTCACCCTGCAGCCATCAAGATTTCACTGCCGTTTTCTTCTCTCTGGCCACCAAATTGGTTGCCCACTTTAATTAGCACAGAGGCCAGATGTCTGGCCAGCTTGCTAGAACCGGAAGAGCGAGCAAGCTGGTGGAGTTTCCCAGCTGGGGGCCCAAGAGGCTTGTTTTGTGTGGTTTGGTCACCTTCCCGTGCATACTTCCTTCCCTCTTGCTTCACTGCCCTTGTCCCCCAACCTGAGGGCAGCTGTCCCTGTTATCACCGAAAGCCCTTTCCTGACCACACATCTGTCCAGCACAGTGTTCCACCGGGTCCAGTGAGTCGGTTACCAAAGGCGTTTGCATCATTGATCATTGCAAGAGCATGGGACGTTTGTGTCTATAAGGAGACTGCAGAAGCCAAGAATTCCCTTTCAGAAGCCTGCCAGCCACCAAGTAATGAAATCTAATATCTGAAGGCCGTGACACCCGTTCATACTAGATTTCATTAATCAATGTTTTCATGGAAAAGATAAATCCTTTATGCATGCCTTTTTCCTGATTTTTCCCCCATTCAAAAAAAAATGCAATGCTTATTTTCCTTCCCTGAAATTCATTGACAAGGACCCACTACTGGGCACCCTAGTTCCTGGCTCCCCAAACTCATTCTTTCAAGTTCACTCAGAGGAGATGGAATACAACGGGAACCAGAATAGATAGAAAGACGGGCTTCTGTTCTAGCTAATCTTAAAGATGTTTCAAATGAGCACTTATAACCTGAGACAGACAGACAAATAGAATATTTCATAATAACAGCAAGTCTGTGCTTGGCATATGAATGACTAAAACATTATTGCCTCCTGAATATTACACAGAGGATCACAGCCTTCACTTAGACATCCAAGGTGTGCCGTGCTACCAACACAGAGCAAGCCAAGTATGACATTGCTATTACAGCTACAAAAGTCACACCTTAGGTGAAGTTCCTGTGAGTAGGTTCCCAGAGGTGCTAACCAAAGCCCAGGCATGCTATTCTCTGGCCGTACCCCAACACACAGTCCCCAACTCATTTGCACTCGGAACTAAAATTGCAATAAGGCCATGAAAGCTAGCCCCATAGTGCTTGCTCCCAACGCTAAGTTCAAATAACACTTCAGGAACTTGGAACAAAGCGGAGGGACCTGTTAGGGCATCTGAACCCCTAGGAGTGTGCTGACACTTTAATGCTGTATGCTTCTCCCAATCCACGGAATAGTAAAGATCTTCCATTTAAAATAACAATCATTTAGAGCAAACTGTTTCTTAAAATGCCCCATTTCCTCATTCCCTTCAAATGTGGCACCCACTGCAGAGCAAATATCTTAGTTCCTGAATGACATTTTTAAAAATATGACAAACAAATCTTCACAAAGATACTTGAAAAGTATGATTTATTACAGTGTGAAACTGGAAGCAGTCAGAATGGTTAAGTAGCTAAGCAGACTGTGATACATAGCAAGAGACCTCCATGCCCCATCCTGAGGACAAGAGAAGGCAGAAATTCAGAGGATCGGACCTAGGCTAAGAGGAAAAATTAGAAATTGCTCAGCACTGTGACCTCAGCTAGATAGAAGAATAGTTATACATACATACATATCTTATAAAAAGGACTGGAAGGGGATAAACTAAACAATTGTGTTAGGGTTTATGAACAGTATTTCCCCCTTGTCTTCATGCCTAACACTACCAATATTGCTATGTCTTCTTAGATAAAAAAAAAAAAACCAAAAACTGGAAAGCCCACCAACTTTTTAAGTAACTATTTCTGGTTAAAATAGATGTAATTATGAAAGAAAGGACAGTAATATGAAAAATATTCTAACTATAGTCAACCCAGATAAAACCGCTGCATGCAGGGACAGCTCATAGGGTAAGAGGCCCCCCCACCCCCCCCCGCACTGCCACTCATGCCTCAAATGTCTTGTCCGGCTTCTCTTCTGCAGATCTGCATTAACACAAGGCTTCAGGCCTCTTTCCAGACTCTTCCATTTTGCCTAAATAGTTGACTCCAGAACCACTGGATGGGGACATAGCAA